AATGGCAAAGGCCATCACTTGCAACTAGACTGGTGACTTCGTAAATTTCTTTCCCCTTCTTCATCTGGTTCTGTTCAACATATATATGTTTTTATAATGGCAAGCTAATCTTGATTTGAAACTAAAAGAAGCTAGAAACTTAACTTTTGAAAGATTAAGCTCTACTCGCCTGAACTTTTTCATTTCCTAAATCCCAAGAAGGTCTTCAGATTTCCCTATAAACTTTCTTGCTTTACAACAAACCACTTTTTATATGGCACTCATTATTTATGATGGATGAATATTCTATACAATTCCGCAATTATTCTGGTTTTGGCATGGTGAATACTTCACAAAAGTCATCCTTCGATTGCTCTTGTGGCAATTGTTATCACTTGCAACTGTTGATAAAGGGCTTGAATTCTGCCATTTCATTTTATGCCCTGCTGATAGTGGTTTCTATATCTCAAAAATTTCTTTTGCTCTGCAGGATGCAAAGATTTGTTTTCTGATGATACTCTGCCAGAATGGTTTTTTAGTGTGAGAAAGGAATATGAGTGGCTTACCAACCTTATGCAATGGCCGGATGAATTTCAATTTGGGTGATGAATGCTGAGGAGATACAGAGAAGATGGCCCGTCATGAGGATGGTGTGGTTTCAAGCAAGAGAGCCCTTTCAAGTTTACTGCCTTCCAGGTTAGTTTCAAGTCATATGCCTGATTTTCTTGGTCATTCCAACAATTTATTGGTGAACTAGGAAATGTGGGTTATGGTCAATAACAAGAGCCAGTAGTATTATTACTTTCCATTCAAGCTTAGCTCATTTTTACGGATTTCTAATTAATTAAAGAATTTCCTGCTGGAAAAGGCTGGCCCACGAACTTGTTTTTGGGGAAGAATATAGACTTATAGCAAATGAAGATATTTATTGATTGTATAGATAGATATATTTTCAAACTCACTGATGAAAAGAAAGCTGTCAACTATCGAACAATGATATAATCTATCACATTGATGGTGGCCTGCAATGTTAGAGCATTCCAGAGGTTCAAAACTTAATAATGTAAGTGGCTTATTAAAGCATTGCGTTTGAGCTGTTGTGGCAAACTGCTTTTGTAATTATTTAAGGCTTAATAACAAACCATGGTTGGGCAGGAGCTAGATTCTATAATTTTTTTTTTTTTGCAAAACTTAGTTCCCTTAAAAGAAAGCGGTTCATAGAAATTGAAAAGAAATTGAAAAGCAAAAATGGGCTTTTAAAAATACACCAAACACATTTTTCAAAATCAAAAATTCAAAAAAAAAAAAAAAAAAAAAAAAAAAAAAAAAAAAAAAAAAAAAAAAAAAAACACCAGACTCAATTCCAAACGGAGCCCAAACTTTAAATGGTATATTATGGAAGTGGAAATTGAAAACCATCCATGGGTATAAAAAACATGTTTAAGGTAGTTCCTAATTTTTGGGCTTTAAATGGTTTTCTTCAAGCAACAGCTTCTTTATTAAATGAGCTGGTCCAGTTAAAGAAAGGAATTATACCCTTCCTTATTTGTTTAGACATTTTGTTAACTTGTAATGTAATGAAAATTACACATTTTGTTAACTTGTAATGTAATTAAAATTACACATGTAATTTTAATTACATTACAAGTTAACAAAATGTCTAAACAAATAAGGAAGGGTATAATTCCTTTCTTTAACTGGACCAGCTCATTTAATAAAGAAGCTGTTGTGTAATTTTCATTACTTAAATTAATTTTATAATCATTACATCAAAAGATATATGTAAAGTTCATTACATTTCTCAAAGCCAATATCCATTCTCAACCACCACCACCACCATCGCAATCGCTGCCACCACCACCATTACCACAATCACCACAAACACTACACCACTGACAATGCAACTACCACTCTGCCGCCACCATCGTAACCGCCACTAACAATGCAACTACCACTCCACCGCCACTACCATCGTGACCACCACCACCACCAGTACTCCACCACTAACAATGCAACTACCACTCCACCGTCGCCACTATCGCAACCACCATTGCAACCACCACTCCACCCCTGCCGCCACCACCACTCCACCGTCGCCACCATCGCAACCACCATTGCAACCACCACTCCACCCCTGCCGCCACCACCACTCCACCGTCGCCACCATCGCAACCACCATTGCAACCACCACTCCACCCCTGCCGCCACCACCACTCCACCGTCGCCACCATCGCAACCACCATTGCAACCACCACTCCACCCCTGCCGCCACCACCACTCCACCGTCGCCACCATCGCAACCACCATTGCAACCACCACTCCACCCCTGCCGCCACCACCACTCCACATAATCACCACAATCACCACCATCACATCATTATTAATTATTCTTTTGTATTATTATAGGAATAGGAAAAGTGAGATGAAAAATCACTAAAAAGATCAGACTACCAAAATTTCATATTGTAATTTAATTTATTCAATGAAAATATATAAAATTGTGTAACAAATTAATTTTCAATGACTTTAAATTTTATTTTGTTACATTATATTTTTTTCAGCTTTTTTTTTTTTTTTTAATTTTCTAGTCCAAGTAGTTTATAATTCTAAATAGTATTTAATAGCTTGATATAACGAATAATTTTTAATTCAAATATTTCTTTTTTTATTATTAATAATTATGTGGTGGTAGTGGTGGTGGTAGTAGTGGTGGCAGTGTGATTGATAGCGGTGGTCTGCTAATTACATTACATATTTACAAATAAACATAAAAATTGAATGATGATTTCATTGCATAAATTCTCTCAATTATATTCACCAAACATAGTAATGGAATATTAATTACATTTTTCATTGCATTACATTAAGCTAAACATAGCGTTAAAATAAAAGGATTAATTTCACTTTGAATAAAAAGGTGCCTAAATTTCAACTCATCTGCAAGTTAAATTAGATTTAGATTTCCACCAATTCTCTCTACTCCACCTCATCTTAATCTTTCGCCCTTTCTTGTTTTCTACATAAAAAAAAGTAACCCAAATTCGCTCTAATCTCATCAATTATTCTCTCGCGCAGACTAACTACTGAACTAGAATTAAGAACAAAAATCAAGAATAAGAACAAAAATCAAGAATAAGAACATAGGCATAAAGAAATTACAAAATCAAAGCTTTTTAAAGTTGGGATTAAGCTTGATCGCCTTGAAGCCTTGGTCCTTAACCCAACTTCAAAACTCTTCTTGTATGTGCCAATCTCTCTCCCTTACTTCTTGCTCTTCTGGGTCTTACTTTGTTCATCTTTCTAGTTTGTTTTTTTAAGTGTTTTGGATTTTTATTTGGTTGTACTTTGTACAATTATGTTTGCATTTGTTTGTTCTTTTGCTCTACTCTGCTCTTCTTTTTTCCTTTAAATGCATGGTCTCTTTCTTTTGATAGAAGCTACTCCTAGCATCTTTGATTCCTATTTCAGGCAAGTAGGTAACAAGATTTCTTAATCGTATACATATCTTTTAGAGATTTAAAAGATTTGAAAAATTGGCAAGGGGTTATCTATATCAAAAATTTAGAAGACAGGGAACTTAAAATCAATTTGTCAAAGGTGGATATCATAGCGCTAGAGTCGGCGATCAGTTTGTTGCCTTGTTGATCATTATATTGCTCAAATGAAGCTCAGTTGGGGCTAGTTTTCTATCGCTGGCTGGCTTTTGAATTTGATAGTTATGGTTTGATTTTTGTTTTTGGTTTGATTTTGATCTGTAAGTTTTTATTAGATCATGCATAACCATTATGCTGCATATTATTTCTATATGGGTTTATTATTAGTGATTTCGTAAGTGTACGGATCGTGCAAGTAGTATAATAAGATATCGTCCTCAAGAATAGGGGGACTGATTATTAGCTTTGAATTCAAGATGTATTGTCTAGACAATTAAATGGGTGAATCTTTCAAACCTAAAATGAACTAAAAGTAAAATAAGCAAGTAAACTACTGAAGTGAAAATTAAACAAGATTATTGTAATCAAATAAAGAAAGCATTAGTGTTGGGATCATCATCACACCACGAAAGTAGGTATTCTTATGATTTCAGAACGTTTGTGTTACTCGGAAGAGAGCATGAATATAAATGGATTCCCTTCAAGATGCATCCCTAATAGATTGAAAATGGAAATTTGAGCCTCATGTTGTTATTCAATGATGTTGATCCCAACAGTAGTGATTTTATTTGATTACATTAGTCTTTGTTGCTCAATTTTCACTTTAGTAGTTTACCTGCTTATTTTACTTTTAGTTCATTTTAGATTTAAAAGATTCACCCATTTAATTTTCTAGAAAATACATCTTGGATTCAAAGCTAATATTCAGTCTCTCTATCCCTGAGGACGATATCTTATTATACTACTTGCATGATCCATACACTTGAGGAATTCCTACTAAGTTTTTGGCATCGTTGTCGGGGATAAATGCTTCGGTGTTGATATTAGTGATTAGATTCATAGTGTTGATCTAGATACTTTGCTTTTATTTTTATACTTTTACTCATAGCTATTGTTACATATTCTGTTTTTCTTATGCATCTACTAATATTGTATGCCCAAATCTAGAAGCTTGTATTTGCTCCCTTTACTTCCTAAGATTGAGAGGACTGTAAGGCCCTTAAGGAGAACAAGTCCAAGATATCAATGAAGCTTCTCCAAGAAGAAGAGTTCAGTTGATCCCCAAATTGAAATTCTGAAGGAAAATATTGAGCAACAGGTGTCTGTAGAGGAACAAGAAGAAAACCCTATTTTAGAATAAGTACCACCAATGGGAGATAACCGAAGGTAGGTGGATTTGGCCATTCCCACCATTGAAGGGATACGTCTGTCGATTATTCAACCAGCAGTGATAGCAAACAGCTATGAATTGAAGACCTCATTTATCAATTTATTACAAAACAATCAGTTTGGAGGTTTGCCACTTGAGGACCCAAATGTCTTTGTGCTGCATTCCTAAAGAAGTACTTTTCTCTTAACAAAACTCAGAAACTCGAGATAGAGATTGCTACTTTCAAGCAAAAGTCGGATGAGAGTCTTTTTGAAGCTTGGGAGAGGTATGGAGACATTCATAGGCAATGCCCTAATCACGGCTAGATAAACACATTTGGATCCATTAATTCTTTGAAGGATCCTTGTTGAGTGTGCAAAGTGCCTTACATGCAGCAGCTGGAGGTTCATTCTTTGAGACAACCATTGATGAAGCTTTCTGATCGATAGAACAAATGGCTAACAATAGCCAAAAATGTGGAGAACCAACCTTGACTAAGAAAATTGTAGGAATGCTTGAAGTTGATGGAATCACTTTGTTGACAGCTAAGTTTGATGCATTGGCAAAGAAACTTGATAGTATACAAAAAGTGAATATAACTTTCATTACTTGTGATGTGTGTGGAGGTGTTGATCATGCTAATTCAAAGTGTATGTAAGTTGCTCAATAGGTTAATGAAGAGATTGTGGAGGACGTCAACTATGTTCAAAATCGATATAGGTAAATGCCTTTTGAAAATCAATTTCCTAATAACTTTGGCGTGAGTTGGAAAAACCACCCAAACCTAAGTTGGAGCAACCAATAAAACACTCTTCAACCACCTACCATAACCACCACCAAGTATCCAACAACCTAGACCACCCCAAATGCCTAACCAACCATTCCCCAATGCTCAACCGTCCAGCCTAAATGCTGACCACAACTTAAAAAATTATATAGCCCTTCAAGAGAATGTCGATGAATCAGTCAACACTAGGTTTGAACAAATGCATACCCATCTCAATATTAAGATTGATCAACTTGTCTCTCACTAGAAAATACTTGAAACCCAAATGGCTTAACAAGCTAGTTCTTCTAACCTAAAAGCCCAACGGAAGCTACCTAGCCAAACATTTGAAAATCCTAGAGAACATTGCAATGGCATAACCCTTAGGAGTGGAAATACTTATGAGCAACCAATCCCACAACCCAAGCCTAAGAGAAATGAAAATGAGATAGTGGATCGTAAGCAAGAAGAGTCTTCCAAAGAAAAGCAGCACTAGAAAAAGGAGATAATGAGAAGTACAAAGCTAAAGTTCAATTTCCACAACGAAACAAACTCAGTTAGATAAGCAATTTGAAAAGTTTTTAAACCTTTTTAAGCAACTATATGTGAATGTACCATTCACGGATCTTATTTCCCAAATGCCTATCTATGCAAAGTTCATTAAGTACATTATGTTCTAAAAAAGAAAGCTAGTGGAGAATGAGACGATAGCTTTAACTGAAGAATGTAGTGCTTTAATTTTGAACAAACGTCCTCCTAAGCTCAAGGATCCCGGTAGTTTTTCTATCCCTTATGAGATTAGAGAGATGGCAATACAAAAGGCTCTATGTGATTTGGGAGTTAGCTTTAGCTTGATGCCTCTCTCAATCTTCAAGAAAATGAACATTAGTGAGTTGAAGCCTAAAACATAATTTTGCAACTTGCGGATAGATCAGTCAAGTATGCTCTTGATGTTGTAGAAGATGTTTCAGTAAAGGTTGACAAATTCTTTATACCAGTGAATTTCGTTATGCTAGACATGAATGAGGATAGACATATGTACCAATCGTATTGCGAAGACCATTCTGAGCCACAGTTAGAGCTTTAATAGATGTGAAAAATGAGAAGCGTAAACTTTGTGTTGATGATGAAAAGCTGCTCTGTAACGCCCCGTTTTTCCTGTGTTTCAATAGTAGTTTACCGGTCTATGAATAGTACCACCGGTCCGGAAGTTGATATTATGTTTGGTTCGGAAAAATTACTACTTATGTTTTATATTTTATTTAACATTTTTGGAGCATGTATGCATGGTTTTTATGGGTAGAAAGTAAGGGATATTTTTGGAGAATTTAGAGAATTTGTGAATAGTGAATTATAGCGGATATTTTTGGAGCAATTTTATGAGAATTTGTGAATAGGTATTATGGTGGGTATATTAAGTAAAGTAAATTTGAGAATTATTTTTTTTATGGAGTAAATAGAAAAGTTTGCTGGAGATAATTGAATATTTTGAAGGGAATTTAATTGGAGAAATATTTGTAGTGACTTAAATCCTAGGCCATCCAATTTGGAGAAAGACCAAAACACCCTTTAGTGCTTTAGTTAAAAAGCAAACCATCAATTATTGAAGGCAACAATTTTTCCTTTCTTCTTCTTTATTCCTTTACACGTCTCCTTCTTCTTCTTCTCTTCTTTCTTCTTCAATTCTTACTTAGTAAACACATCAAATCAGCCCCATCCAAACTTGATTTAAGTAATAAAATCTTAGAGATGAAGCTTAGAGAAGTAATATTTGGTGACTAAATTTCAAGAATTTGTGATTTTCCTCCTTGGGTCAAGTATTGATTGGTTATGATAAGTTAATATTTTTGGTTTTAGAGGTTTTCTCTTTAAAGCATTATTTACATGCCTGTAATCATGCTCCAGTTACTTTCTTTTCTTTGTTTTCTTTGTTTGATTTTGAGTTTCTTACATTAGAGGTGGAGAGCCCTCTACCAAGGATAAGGGGCAAGACCAAAGCTTGAGAAGCCCTTTTGATCCAAGCTTGTTAAAGCCGTTGTTTTGAAGGTTTAGTTGCTCGATTAAACATCAACTGTACCTTACTAAAATTTTTGATTGTGTGCCTTTATGCTATCATGTGTATCTTTGGGGACTTTTGTATGAAAAATTGATTGATTATTTGTTGAATTTTGGTTGCAATTACATGCTCTTGGATGATGTTTGATGAGTATGTATGGTGTGGTAGACATTTCTACCTTGTATCTTTGTTGTTCAAGTTCCTTTCATGGTTAAAGTAAGTTCAATTTGGGAAAAACGTGTTTTTGAGTGAGATGAAGGACCATTTTTCGATCCTTTCTAATTTCCATTTGTATCTGAGTCCTTCATGAAAGGTGTAGGTCTACCTCTTAGCTTTCCAACCCATCCTCTTGTGTCCAATTTGGAGATACATAGCTCAACTTATGGCTGAAACACCCAAACTGACTGGCTGACAACACCCAAACCTGACTCTATTTGTGTCGGCCACAGTGCATCACGGGGAAGTTTGTACGTGCCGCATTTTTGATCCACGTATAATGACAAGATTAAGGTTTCTAAGTTCTTCACAAAAGTTGTTGACCCTGTGAGTCATTCTGACGACTTCTCTCATATTCTGGGGATTGTTTAATTTGAGTGTTTGCGTTAAATAGGAATTCCAATAAACATTAGACTTGCGTTCTGCTCGAATCAGGTTCATGATCTGTTGGTCTGTGTTCTGAGGCTTTTGTTTGCTATCTTATCGGATGGATCTTGGGCTGTGGTCGCATACTTTATAAAATTTGTTGTAAGCGGCATTTGTTACGTCCTTAGCTTCCTAATGACATTGAGCTCTAGTCACAGTATTTAATGGAGCTCAGACCCATAACTCCAAGTTATGTTTTAAAAACCAGCCAAGGTCAAGTTTGATGAAAATGCTGAAATTTCTTTGATATATGTACTTTCGTATACTTTATATTTAGTATATTATCTATTAAATATTTTCTTTTGAAAGAATGTTCTGTAATTTTTGTAATTGATTAAGTTGGAGATTATTTGAAATGATGAGGTATTAAGTAATGAAGTGTTTTTGATTAAAGAAATTTTGAATAAGTAATAAAGGTCTTTGTGACTAAGAATGATTTTTGATTTGGCTCTTACTATGTCAATGATTTGAAATGTGGATATGATGAGATGATTTGAATATACAAAGCTACTGTGGATTCTATATGCTAGGGTATTCAGCCCTTATAAATAGGCGGGACAACGCTTATTTGTTGTGATGGGCTCACCTTGGTGGCCGCCTTTTCATAGGCCACGATTGTGTTGATCGGGGTACCCTAACTAGCCTGCCATCCTAGGATCGCTTTGCCGGGTCGGGATGTCACATATTCATTCTGTATTAGTACGAGCCTTAACTAAAAGAGTGAAATTTTATTTTTGCTATAAAAGAATGACGACATATTTGTATTTATAATCTTCTTATTGCTTTCACAGTGTTTTCACTACATTAATGCAATTTCCGTATTTATCTAATTCAAGCACTTGCGAGATTTGCCAAATAGTAAGTTACCGGTTTGTGAATAGTATCATCGGTCCGGGAATAAATATTATTTTGGTCCAGAAAAATTACTATCTATGTGTTATATTTTATTTAATATTTTTGGAGTATATATACATGATTTTTATCGGTAGAAAGTAAGTAATGAATATTTTTGGAGAATTTAGAAAATTAGTGAATAGTTAATTAAGGTGTGATATTAATTAAGGAATTAGAGGCAATATTTGTATGGAGTAAATTTGAAATGGTGTTATATTAATTAAAGAAATTAGAGGAATTATTTTTATGGAGTAAATTTGAGGATTTTATTGTGTTAAATAATATTTTGAAGGAATTTAATTGGGAGAATATTTATAGCCGTTAGATTAGATCGACTCAATCCTAGCCATCCAATGTTGAGAAAAAAGACTAAAATACCCTGCTGCTCAATAATTGGAGCAAAACCACTTCTCTCCTTCTTTACTTCTCTTTTGGCGTTGGTCTATTCTCCTTCTTCTTCTTCTTCTCTTGTTTTTCTTCAACTTCATCCTAGCTAAATCCATCAAAATTCAACCCATTTAACTTGATTTAAAGGAAATCAAATCTAGAGTTTAAAGCTTGAGGAAATGATATTTGGTGAATTTTAATTCAAGAATTTGCCGAGAGAGGGACACAAGGGTGGAGCACATTGGCCTCACCAAAAGGAGACAAGCGGAAAATTTAGGCTCTCAAGAGTTTGATTTAAGCTTGTTAAGAAGCTTATGTTTAAGGTAAGTGCTTCATTAAATCCTCTTACCTTGTTTAAATTTTCGTGAATTTTTGTGAAGGTTAATAACTATTTTGTGAAAATTGGAAATTTTATATGAAATAATTTGATTATTGAATTTGGCTGTTATACATGTGTCTTGAAGAGTTTCTAAAGCATTGCTATATGTTTGACATTGAGTGAGTGAAACCAGTTTCTTTTCTTCATCCTCCAAGAGTGGCAGGAACCTATTGATGAATAAGGCATTAAGTTTTCTTTTGA